AGTCATCCTCGACCCCTTCACGATCTTTGACATCACCCTGTACTTGGACCTGCTTCCCTTTGTCAGTCATTGTCACCTTGAGCCCGGTAGTCACTGAGCTGTCTACCTCGATATTTGGTGGAACAACATTATTGGGTTGTGATGGTCTGATCCTCGCACCAAGTATTACTGGATACCTCCCCTGCCGTGCTTCGGCATTCTTACGTAGGAATCTCCTCCTTTGAGTCCTTCTTTGGTTCCGGGAACTTGATACGCCCCTTCTCAATAGCATCCTGCAAGATATTACGGAAAACCACACATGATTCAGTGGCATGTGACATGCTGTTATGCCACTTACAATACTTCTTTCCTTTTAATTTCTCGGGTGGTGGGATGTTATGCCCCCCTGTCAACTTGATTTGACCATCCTTGTAGAGTTGGTCAAAAATCAAGTCAGCTTTGGAGATATCGAAGGAATACCTCCGTGGCTGGATAGGGGCACGATTAGGTCTACCCCCTTGTGGTTCATTGTCCATCTTAGCCAAAGGAGCACATACATATGGCTTCCCTGGAGTTAACTCAGCCAGGTCTACCTCCACCTCATTGGCCTCTTGGCCAATATGGTTAACAGGGTAGCCGATGTTGGGGAAGTATTGCCCCCTTGAGACACTCCTCCTATTCTCCTCTTCTTGAAGAAGAGATTCATATCTCACCGCACAAGACATGAGTTGGAACAAGTCATAGAATTCTCTATCTTGGAATTTCTTCCTTAACTCAAAACTCAACCCCCCTTGTGCTAACTTGACAAACTCTCTCTCTGTCAAGTTGACAAAACAACGGTTACGAGCATTCTTAAAGTTTGTCAAGAAGTGCTCTACTGACTCCCCTGGCTCTTGGCGCATTCGTGCCAAATCAGCCATGGAAACCTCACGCTCAGATCTATAGAACTGAGCATGGAAGATTTGCTCCATTTCCTGCCATGTTTGGATGGAGTTGGATGGCAAATTGACATACCAGGCAAAAGCAGGTCCTGTCAATGAGTTTCCAAATACTCTTAACTTAATAAAATCTCCCACATCCCCACACTGGACAGTAAAACGTCCAATGTGCTCCACAGTAGACTGGTCCCCTGTCCCAGTGAATGTGGCAAACTCGGGCACCCTAAACCCCCTTGGGAATGGGTAGAGTCTATCCACCCACTCAGGGTATGGTTTTCGATAAACAGGTGGCATGGTGGGTCTCACTCCCATGCCAAATTGCTCGGCAAGAAGTTGAGCCACCTGATCCCTTAGAGTGTTGGGATCATGCCCCCCTGGTTGCCCCCCTTGGGGTACGAAACCCATGGGGTCCATGCCATGCCCATTGAAATGGGGTGGCATGGGTGTTGGGTATGCTCTGGGAGGAACTTGATCTCCCCCACCTAAGCCTACTCCCCCTCCCATGTGAGCAGGCACCGTATAGGGCCTTGCCATTGGTATGGGTATGGGTGGCGGTTCCACTGGAGCAGAATGTGTAACTCCCAAATTCTCACCACGTGGGGGAATTTCTCCAACTCCCACATTGGGTATCCCTTCCACTTGAGTAGTGGCAGGAATCTCGCCGCGATTCATGCGGTGAGGAGTTGGTTGGTTTGTCATCGGCGGAAAGAGGTTATCTTGTCGTGGCTGACCATTTCCGCCGCTGGCGGGAGATGAACTTAGATTTCCGGAATTGCTATTGGGGTTTGAATTCCCGCCATCTAATGGAAGAGCTCTAGATTGGATTATTGGTGTGGTTAAAAATCTTCTAAACTCATCAAAAACACTTTTGTTCTTATTAACCACCTCAAATAATTGACTTAGACGTCTATCAACTCTAGAATTAAGACAGTCCATTTGAGAATTTACCTGATGAGAAGCAGCTCTAGCCTCCTCCATCATGCGGCGGTTCTCCACCATCATTTGGCGGTTCTCCTCTGTGGCTTGACGGTTCTCTGCCACCAGTTTGCGGTTCTCCTCCATCATTTGACGAAGGACCCCCACTGCTTCACCAATATCTCCACTTGGTGTCGCCGTTGGTAGGATCTCCGCCCCACCATTGTTTACGGCCACCGCCTCTGACACTTGGCCATGTTCAATGTTGGCCACCTGCTCCTCCACAAAACCAGCCGGAGCGTCACCTTCTTGATTCCTCCGCCTCGGAGCCATCAAATTGAACACACGTGTCCCACCGGGTGTGCCAATTTGTTTTCCCGACGAGAAAAATAAAGGAAAGAGAATTGGATTTTGCACCTTTGACTTCCAAACAAACGATCAAACAACACAGTTCACACCTCTTTGAACAAAGTTCAAACAAGGGTGTTCAATGTTTTGATGAACTACGAGGCAAATCTACATTAAATTAGCCCTACTCCTATGGAGGTTCAGTGAGAGCTCCAAAAACTACGACTATGGCTAAAATCTGCAGAGGAAAAGATAAAAAGATAAAACTTGACAAGTGGTGTCGATTTGTGATTTTTGCGAACCCTTTCTCTGTCATCTTCACCTCCTATTTATAGCCACCAGAAGTAACTGCCCAAAGAAACTGACGTGGAGTGACGGTTACCCACTCAACTGCTATGAAGGTTACCCTGATGTTGGATGTGGGATCCTCTTCAGCCTTGACTTCCTCCTCTTGAGACCTCAACCTCTGCTCTTGGCATCTCCTGTCGTAGTTTTGCTTATCCATAGAGTAAAAATGGCTAAGGCATAAAGAAATACCACTTACCACATATGGGTGGGTATTTGAATAACATGAGTTAAACATGGCAAAAAGTATTTCACCATTAGTATACTAAAGAGACCACCTGCTCACATGACCCCCTTGCCTTGGCCATACCATGGGAGTGTACATTGGTGACCCCCTCACCATACCATTGGGCATCCTCCATGACCCCACCACTATATCATCCTCATGGGAGCTGGCGTTGGTGACCCCTCACCCCTGATCAATGATGATGGCCACCCCCCTTGCCACGTCCTGGGGGTGGTATGATGATGGCCACCCCCCTTGGTACCTCCTGGGGGTGGCTATCATTCTTCTTGCCTTAGCCAAATTCGGCCATGGCGCGCGTGGTGGCGTGGTGGCGTGGAGTAATGGGCCCAAAAACTCAAACTTCATGGCCCACTCAACTGATTTGAACTGATATGATTAAGTTGGCCTTATAAAGCCATTTAATCCCTTGTTTTTAACCGATGTGGTACAAGGTTAATATTTATGGGTAAACATATAGTTATATTTAAAGTTCCACATTTAGTTACTCGGTCAGCCACTGTTACTGCACATGCAGCTATTGCAATTGGGGACGTCTCCACGCCTGAGAATGAGAAGGACACCACTGAAAATTATTTTGCTACCAAAATTATTTGGTTGGAAAAAGTAGAAATCATTTTGCTACCAAATTATTTGGTCTCTTCAAGTTTTATTTGGTTTTCAATATTTTGACTTTAATAGACAACCAAATTTTTAATAATTTAGCTACCAAATATAATTGGTTGTATATACTGACGGCTCTTTTCACGACCAATTTTAGTTTGGTTGTAAATTTTTTGGTTGCCAAAGTTAATTTTTGTTGTAGTGTAATATTGGTTTTTTTTATCATTCAAAACACAATCGAAGTGTGATTTGTAGGTTACGCTTATATATGCACCAAAAATGTTTGGAGGTCTTTTTCATTTCCTTACATAACCAACGCGATCTAGATGATGAATGAAGCACGTCTCACACAATATGACTAATCAAATTTAATCGTATTGAGCCAAATCTCGAAATTATACATGAAAGATGGAAAATATTCGAACTATCTCTCATATTTACTTTTGTTTAATCATATTCAATGCAATTAAAAGCGCGATTCTACTTAGAAGTGGGAAATGGGTAAAATAGTAAAACGTAGAATCAAAGCGTAAAAGCGTAAGTTTTTGACGCACCCTCTAAAATAGCTAAAATATGTTAAGTACAACATATAGTATGTAAAATGTGAGTGTGTAGATTTTAGATAAGTGAATAACTACATGAAATTCATAATTAAAATGTAATATCTAACATATAAACTAATTTGTGTTGACTCAAAAGTAAGAAAACTCATAACATCTTAATAATAAGCTCATAAACGTAGATCGTAAACCGTAAACGAGCTTGAGAATCCAAATTCTCATAAACTGGTTTGAGTTTACATAATTACATACGATCAATTACCCATAAACTTTTATCGTAACCCAGGTAAGAGCCTCAGGTGAAGATTAAGGGAGAAGACTGATAGAAGAGGTCAGCGACTGTTGAGAATATCATTAGGTGTCTTTCAACCTAATGTGAAGCCCCTATCCCGACACTAGTTGTAGAACGAGTGATGAATCATGTTTTCCTTTTTTTTATTATTCTTTGCTTATATGTCTCCAAAATTACATCATTTTGGGCCAATTAGCACATATTTATGAGATGATCAAAATCGTATAAAAACGCTTCAGAATCGCGATTTTATCGATTTTAAGCGATTTTACCGATTTTACCCATGTTTTTATCATGTTTTGTGACTAAGCGACTTTAAGTAGAAACTGAAACGTTTTGGTGGCCTGGGTACATAAAAACGTAAGTTCTTACGTTTTAATGCGCGATTTTGACTGCACTGATCATATTTAATTTGGACGATAGTATGAATCGCCCTCCATTTCCTCCATGATAGTTCTTTTTTTATTCATTCAACAACAAAGATACACGAAAACGACAAATCTTCAATACATTCACACATACACAATATGACAAATATATTAACCACAACAACACATCAAATTAACCATTACAGGGGAAAAAACACACCTTAAAAACGGGAAAAAACAAACAAAACAAAAACAAATGGACGTAGGATAACGTGGGGGACCACCAAGGATGGGATGGGGTGCCATTATTTAGGGTGTTACTACTGGTTGAGAGAGTGAGTGATCAATCAATTAATTTATTAAGCTCCCTCCCTCCTCTCGCCGGCCGGCGACGGAAATAGAATCCGATTATTCTTCTTTGTCGCCGTCGACGATCTCGGCCTCCCCCAGCTCCACCTTGAGCTCGACCTCCTTCTTCTTCCCCACCCCCACGTCTTCCTCGGCGAGCTTGATCTCGTCGGCGGGTAGTAGACTCTCCTCGGTGTTTTCCCAATGGAATTCGTAGAGATTAGCGCCGGTGTAGAGCCCATCGTGCATCTCGGTGGGGACGATCCTGCCATCGAAGAGTTCGTCCGTCTGAGTGTAGGAGAAAGGGACGTCGCAAAACCCTTGTGTCGCCTGAAAAGTGATGGTCGCCATGGAATAGGGACCCACCGTGACAGGGTACTCCTGTTCCTGCTCTTCGGAGGTCTCGATGGTTTGGCCCCACGTGTATTCCGACGAGAGCTCCCACTGAACCGTGAGCGACGCGTCCGTGAACAGCGGGATGCCGGCTGACACCGTGGAGGAGAGGCCGTAGCTGAAGGACACGGTGCTCTGCCAGTGCCGGCTTATCGTGTTCCGGTACCGGAACCTAATAACGGGCGTGTTGGTATGGGCAGTGTTGTTTCTAACGGTGGTTCGGGCCAGGGTTCGGGGGACCTGGCCGTAGATGCGGGCGTCCAGGAGGCGGAACCGGACGTTGGAGATGCTCCTCTTCCTCACCCACTCCCCGACCTCCAGCCTCCCGAACACCGTTATGGTGTAGTCCGCGGCGCTGAGGCAGCTCGTCTTGCCTCCGTCCGTGAGGCGCTTGCAGTACAGCAAGGTCCCCGGGAGGCGCAGCGCGACCACGTTGGGGCCCACTCTCTCAGGCCAGAACACCGTGTCCATGTTGTTGGCGGTGGTGTCGGTGGAGTCCCCCCAGATCCAGAAGTTGGGGCTGCGCCTCCAGAACCTGCCGTAGTGGTTCGACCGGATGCGGACGCTCCCGTCCGGGTTCTCGAACACCTCGTTCCTCGCGGTGGCCTCGGTGTTGCTCGTGCCTGAGAACTCGAGGTAGTTGGAGCGTTCGATCACGCGGGCGCGGAGGAACCTCCCGTTGTCGCCCTTGAACACCACGTGCCTGGGCAGCACGAGGAGGGATTCCCAATCCGTGACCACGAACATGTCCTCCACCATCTGGTTGGACGATTGTGTTCTGACGAAAAGGAAGTCTGTGAAGGGCCACTGGCCCTCAGGCAAAATGCACACGTTCTGGTCGAGCTGAACGTGGCGGAAACGGAAGTAGTGGTCTCGGCCACCGTAGCCGGTCGTCGCGGAGAATAGGTAGGTGGGGCTGAAGAGCGTGCACGACCACTTGGATTGGTCCTCCTCCGGAATGTCGGAATGAGCGGCGATCCACATCTGGGTCGGGGAGGTTCGCACCCAGTACTTGTTGTTGTAGCAGGACCGGAGATGGACCAAGCCTCGCACGCTACTCGAGGGTTCCACTTCGAACTTGGCGTAAGGGCTGTGGGCTGCAGTTTCCGCCTTGAACTGGAGCTGACCGTGTTGTTGTATGTCGTCGTCTGTGAAACGCAGGTTTCTCATGGGGTAAGTGCTCCTCACCCTCATATATCTTGGCAACGCCACCGAACGCTCTTCTGCCATGGACGAGATGGGAAGGGAAGGGAAGGGAAGGGAAGGATGGTTCTAAAAATTTGGAAGTGACTTTTAGATATTGGCTTTATGATACCTCTACCACCAAGATTTCCCCTCTATTTATAGAAATGGGAGATAATGGAAGGATTTCTTTTGGATGTGGTAATTAGCTTCCTTTTTTATAAATGGGCGAAATTTAGCAGCAAACTGGGTTGCCGCCAAATTGAATGATTTTATATGTATATTAGACTTAATTTATTTATAATTATATTCCTAAAACTTCAAATCTACTATCCAAATTTATCACTAATTGGATTTTTGGGGAAATAATAAAGTGCTAATTTTAAAAGTGAAGTTAAAAAAAATCCAAACTATATATAGTTGTAGTCGCTGCTCTATAAAGTTAATACCAATTAATTACTAGTAAATAAAAAGCTAATCCCAATTGCCCATGAAAAAGTTCTCCCAATTGAGTAAAAAGAAGGAAACAACGGAAGCTAGGTTCCCTTCCGTTTCCCTGCTGCTTCGTACATTAATTAACAATTAAAATCATTAAACAATTAACTTTGACCCAATAACAATGTGACACATGCGCAGGCAACAGCTGCTGGCGGCAACCCAGTTTGCTGCTAAGTTTCGCCCTAAATAAAATATATCTTGTTAGCTTTAAAGGAAAGGGTGGACAAAAATGACGTATAATTCCCGTCGGCACCACAGAACCAAGGAAGTATGAAATCCGCGCGCATACGTTGACGGTCTTATCCGGCGATATCATATTGGATGGAGGCATTGAGAGAGTATTGTACATTAATTTTTTTGAATTTGGACAAGTCGAGAGGCGATGCAACTCGATCTCCTCAAGTGAGACTGTTTGTTGAGAGGTAATTTGCTTGTCGGGCCTTGTTGTTCATGTCTCGGACGGACGTGTTTTTGTAGCTGTTATAATTCAAGCATCAGGCGGTATGTTCCTTACCTCGCGGAATTACTTGCGGCACTAGAAATGCTATTTCGGTTGCGGTCTCAAGAAGCTTGTCTCGTTGCATCATGAAAGGTGGTGCCGAAGTAGTCATTCGTCAACTTAGCCAAGGTGGTGGATTCTCTGGGAGTGAGGGATCATGTTTAGGGAGTATCGTAGGCTTATCGATCGAGTCCTTTTCTTTTTTGTATAATTTTTAGGAAATTTTCAACCACTATTAACTGGATTGTCAATAAAGTGACAAATAAAAACTTCTTGTTGTTCCTTGTAGATGGAGTTGCGTGGGGCCCTTGGAAAAGAAGATATCGAAGGGTTGTGGGGAAAAGGATAGAAGATTGGAGGTGATAATTGTGGTCGAACATTATCGAAGCTCCAATATTATAGAATAAAAAAATTATATGTTAATAGAAATCATCCACAGCTTAGAGTGCTTGGCCGTTGGGAGTCGGACTCGGAGTCGGAGTTGGAGTAGACTAGTAGTACAGTCACCATTACACTCATTGTTTTCTTTAGGAATAATAATGATCCAAGCTCCTGTACTATAAAAAGATAACAAATAAGCAAAGAGCTCTGATCTAAAATCTCCAATTTACCCTTCTATTTGTCTCAAATTCTTACACCCCACAAATCCTCTCGGCGTGCTTCCAGAGTTGCCTCAAACACCGATTATGATGCTGGCTTCCTCGGTGCTTGAGATCTTTGTTAAATGATAATTTGCAATATGATCATCTCTAAGCATTTGCACATGGTAGGCCTGAACAATTAAATGATCCATTATCAAATTGGAGCTTCAGATTTGACGTGATGAGAAGGCACACCAAATTAAATTATGGACATCAACTTGAAGAGGAAAGACAAGTAAATAATGCACTAGTAATAATGGAGCATGATTGGCCAATCTTATCTCCATACATGCATGTGTAGTGGCGTTTGTTAGAGGATTGGAAGAGAAGAGCTAGCTTCCAAATGCATTTACTATATATGGATCATCTTATAATTATTCTACTCTTATTCTTATGCATATATATATATATATATATATAATCTGTATGGGCATTGAACTGTCAAAGAGTTTGAAAACAAAACAAAAAAGGAAGGAAGCAAAGCCTCTGCCGTGTGAGTGTATGTAAAACAATAGCCAAAAAGGATAAGGCATTGTTTGGTTGTGTGTTTTCTAAATTGAGTGATTAAACACTAAATGTTTCCTTTGTATTGATCCTAATTTCTACCACAATTTCGCTAATACCTAACAAATTTGAGTGATTAAACGAACGTACCTTTGTGACCGGGTATCCGATCGTAGCAAATTTTTTTTTGATTTCGCATAACTTTTTGGGATCTTCCAAGCCGCAAGCACAGTAGGCGGTTTGGTCCCGCCTTCATCCCGAAACAAATATCGTTTGCTACCCCGAACGAGCCTTTTTTAAGAACGTCACAAAATCCGAAAGTCACGATTTTTTTTTTCATTTCGTATAACATTTTAAGAACTACAACTTGTATCATAGACATAATTTCGGAATACACGTGGATTTGTGAAAAGGGAAGGTAAAGTTATTCCCAAAATCTTGTATATCCTAAAATAATTCATGTTTTGAAAAGTCATCCCAAGTAAAAAATTTTGTCCTTAAAAAGTTACGCAAATGAAAAAAAAATCACGACGTTCAGATTTTGGAGCACAAAGTTATGGTTGTTCAAGGTTATAGAGGATTTTTAGCGTTCAAGAAGTAAAACTTTGTCAATATGTAATTGTTTCAATAGAAAAGTTGTAGTTTGGTGGTGTAGAAGTTGAACTAAATTTAGGTAACTATTTATTATTTGGGTTTGAACCCCCACCCCCACAACATGCTGCTTTTTTAATTTATACTAAATAAAAAGATTTAATATGGGATAATGGTGTTTCAAACCCATGACCTCTTAAACACAATAAACAATTTGTGCCAACACAACAAATGTTATTTTTGCGAGAAAAAAAAATATTACAAACCGTCGGGTAGGGTGCGCAAAAATATTTTTTTTTGCGAGAAAAAAAATATTCAAATTATTCATTAAAACAATCTCGATAATTATGCATTAATAAATTATTTAACTAATTAACTACTCAATAAACATGTTTGAATTATTTATGAGATAATTTAGATAACTAATAACACTAATTATTAAATCAATCACTAATTAATTAATTATACATTAAATAATTTAATTATTTGATTAACTACACGAATAAACACATTCGGATTATTTATTAACTAATTTAAATAAATAATAATACTAATTATTAAATCAATCACTAATCAATTAATTATCCATTAACTAATTTAATTAATTAAATGCTCATAAAACACTAATTCATTAAATATTTGATTTAGTTAAATATTTAAATTAATTAAAAAAATACTTGCCGGACGGGGGCGTGGCCAAGGATTTTCTTGGCCCGGCGAGGTGAGAGCAGAAAGAATTCTTCGGCCCGGCCACACCCCTGCCGGAAAGTTATTTCGACTCAGTGTTGATGCCGCCGTCCGAATTTTTTTGACCGCCGTTAACTTGTCTGGGCCGAAAAGAAACGGCCTTCATCGGCAGAAAAAACCACTCCACATCTACTTTAACCCAAGATAGATAGATACAGGCCGGGGATGACATTGCGCTTTGGCCAAAACCATTAATAGAAATCGTCTGTAGCTAGGTCGAGGACAGAATAAGCAAATATGCGGTCCCGCAAATCCCCACGTTTGGAACGCCGCATGTCAGAACAGAAGCGTGCAATCGATAATCCAAATCAACACGAACGAACACAAATTTAACGTGGTTCACTAACACAATGTGTGCTAGCTAATCCACGGGCAAGGGAGAACAAATTTCACTGATTTTGAGTAGAGTACAGGTTACAAACCAAGTTCCAAACGGACTAACCAAACAAACTAACCTGACTGACCTTACTACAGATTAGGGTGGTGAAGAGTATTTATAGAACTCTTCTCCTAATCCCAAACAGAAAACCAAATACCTTTTTCCCAAACATACAAGGAAAAAGGCCAAACCCAAACCCAAACAGAATAGGCCCAAAACACAAAACAAACCCAAATCAAATTCAAGTCATATCCTAACAATCTCCACCTTGACTTGAATTCTCTGTCAAATACCAGATGTACCAGATGCAACCAAAGTTGCCAGATGTACCCAGACGCAATACATATCGCCATACTTACTCAAAATGCGATCCAAATTGCCAGATATCCAGATGTGATCGAAATCACCAAACCCAAACGCGATGCAAATCGCCAAACTCAGATGCAATCAGAATTGCCAGACGTACTAACTCCTCCAAATCAGCTGTACCAGAATCTCCCCTGCCTCCAAATGCCCCTAAGGGTGGTCAACAACTCAAACCATTCGGCAAGTCCAATCCGTATTGAGACTTGCCATTCAGACTCAAATTGGTGCACTTATCACCAACAGAACATGTCAAAACAGAACCATGTAGATTATACAAGACACCACGCTTAACACCTTTCAAAATCTCCTTAGAACCCTTGTAGACAGATAACACTCCACCTTCACCTTTGAAACTGACACTACAACAATTTTGGGATATTATGACAACGACGTTGGTCAAAACTACCTCGTCGAAATAGCTCTATTATGACAAAAAATAGGCATCTTGTCACAACATGTTCCAGTGGCACGCCGTGCACATTTTGTCATAACAGGCATCTTGTTATGACAAAATGTTTTGTCAAAATACAGAAATGCTTCGTCACAATATGTTATTAATTTTTGTCACGATAGTTACCACTTTTGCTACGTTGTTGTGACAAATGTATAGTTTGTCATAGCAAACCTATTTTGACAAAGCCATGTGCTTGTCATAATATTTAAACTCAAACTCCATCTGACATTTGTCCTGATTAAACTTGTTTGTCATAACCTGATGCATATATGACAACCTGTGGGCATTATTATGACGACCTATTTTCCAAATCTGATACTATTCATACCATAA